CCTCCGTCGGCTTTGCATTTCTCAATCACCTGCCCCAAACCGTTCATATTACTCCACCGGTGAACACACTGACCTTGTTAATATATACAAGAAAAATAATTAATTCTTTGCTCTGTATTTTTAATTTGATTGTAATTTAGTCTTTTTAACTTTGATTTTGGACAACTTAATCTTTATAATTTGACACAGTTGTAACTTATTTAATCTCTGAACTTTACCTTAATGCAATTTAATTCCTATAATTTTAGCCATTTAATTAAAACATCTATCGCTAAGTTATTTTTATAACAACTTTATTCTTTATGATTTTAGTTTCTAAAATGTAGAGGATTGGATCAACGTTTTAAAATAAATAAAACTATATCAATTTTGAGTTAAAATTAATGGGCTTGGTTTTAATCGGAGAAAAGATCCAAGTGGAAAGTTGGCTATCCAGACATGCTATTATTCAACAAAAAAGGGGGGGGTGATTTGGGTGAGAATGTTTTAGATTAATTAACCATATGGCTGTGTAAAAATAAACGTGCGAATAGGAAGTAAATTAATTAGGCAATGTGTAAAAGATAGTGGTGGAACTGGAAGGTTGTTGATCGATCATAAAGAAATTTCAATCAGCAGAACTCTTAATTACCACATGCTGGTATAGCCAAAGCTATGGTTTACATGTATCTAACCTATTCAAACAGCTCCTTTTAAGTATCTCAGGTGCTTTTTTTTTTTTTTGAACGAAGTATCTCAGGTGCTTTTGACTTTCCACAAATTATATATATAACATGCTTATGCTATCGACCACAATAACTTGTTGCTTTTTTGTCTTTTTATTTTTTATTTTGGCATCTCCTTTAAGATTCACCAATGACGGCGACTCATTTGAAGCTGTGAGAAAAATATTTAAAGGCTTTGCTTGATCTTACTTGAAACATATTTAGTATTTGCAATGTTTCATAGAGATATGTTAAGCAGTGACGGATCCACGAGGAATTGTTATATCAGTTTTTGGAAGGGGAAAAACAAAAAAATTGTAACATGGGGCAGCCATACTGTTGGATATTATAAAATATTAATGGGTATTTTAAAACAAACTATTATAAATTAATAATGTTAATTACTATTTAAATCAATCCATGTTGTAACCTATATATTAAACTCCATTATTATATGAAACTCTTTTAAATTGTTTTTAATGTGTTTTTGTTGCCCAATTATTAATATATCTGCTTATAAAAAGTTGTACTTGCCACATGTACTGGATGAACCTCTAAGATTGATTTTCTCTCCTCCTATATCCTATTGTTTCATCAGTGTTGGTATTGCTTTAGTTTATTCTAGGAATTTTTGTTATTTTATGTCCGTATTCATTTTGCAAAAAGAATCTATTTAATTTTGAGTTGTCGCTTGATCAACTTGTATGATGTGATGGAATAACTTTTAAAAATAATATTCTCAGGCATGACTCAAGCTATAATTTTATTTATCGGCGCCAACAATCACCTTGATTGTATCTATCCTTGATGTTCATTGTGATTTAATTTGATGGGGTTTTTTTACAAAGATCCTATAAACAATAATAAAAAAAATATCAAGATGCTATCTTGTGGGAAATTTTTTTCAAAATACTACACCTAAAATTGTTCTTACTTTGAACAATTTACAAAGTTAATAACACCATATACGGTTTCTTCAATATATACTCGAAATGCTAACAAAAGTGAAAAAAAAAATTTGTTCTTGGCACATGAACGATTTTTAAACTTCATTACCTAGTGCATCCTCTATCCCTAATAAGTTGGTTAAAAATATGAAGACCAAGCGAGAGGATTTCAAATTTGGCCAAATTGGTTTTTTTAAAAAAAAACATTAACATAGAGAGTTTTGTCTTCCCCCATTGTTAGAAATTGACTATATAGGCCCCTCAATTTTTTTATTTCTTTAACAAGACCCCTTTTTTGAGTGTAAAAAAAAAAGCTCCATTACTAATATTTTGTAGGTTTAAATTTTGGAAAAAAACATAATTATTAATCTCTATAGTTTTAATGTATTTTGGTAAAAGTCTTTATAGTTTTTTATGGTTTCTCTAGATCCATCTAGTTTATCCCATTTGTAACACTAGTACATCTATTTTTGAATATTCTCAAAAAGACAATGAAATGACAATAATAGTATTAAATATATTGACACGTGATGAATGTCATTAATCTGTGTCAAGGTGAAGTTATAATTCAATAGATTAATAATATTGTCCACCCATTTTTATTTCACATTTTATGTTTTTAACTGTTGAGTCATAATTTCACCTTAACATAAATTAACAGCCTTAATCACATGTTAATATATTTAACATTATTAGAGTTAGCTCATAATTTTTTATTTTTTGGTACATACTTAAAAATATAGAGAACCAATGCTGTGGTGGGATAAACTAAAAAGACTCGAAGCAAAGAAGAAAAAAAATATAAAAACCTATATTAAAATATGTTAAAACTACAAGAATCAATTATTATGTTTTTCCTGAAATTTTCAACCCCCTGAAAGATTTTCTCCAGGTTTTAGCATAGAACATTTAGATGGGTCGTTGACTTTCTCAACCATAAGGAAGGCCCATCATTAATGTGTACCTTTTCTCAACATGGGCAGGAGCCCAATAGAGTGAGCCCCATTTTCTGGGATGAGACCCAAATAGTGCTAGAAAATTCGGATTCATTCTAGAAACTTCTCGCAAGGTGCAGAGAAGGTGCCATGGACGTTGCGCAACACTTCGAGTACAATAAAATCACATACACAAGTTGTTTCAAAATCCTAGTTCGTGAACGAGATTGTTATTGGTGATGAAGCTGCTACAAACCCAATAAAACAAATCTGACCCAGACAGTGCAAAATTCAGATTCACATTCATCTTCTAAATATATTAAGTTGTTTAACCTCAGGAAACAATGGATTCGATGATGGATTATGAAATCTTATTAAGAGCTGGCTCTGGTCGAGTAGGGAATTAAGGAAAGCATTTTACATGTCAAAATTTGTATACGCCCTGGGCTAGCTATGTTTTGTTCCACATGAAATTTGGGAAATAGACCACGTGGTGGCAGGGGGAGAGGACGACTTTTGTTAAAAGAATTTTATGGTTTTATTTAAGTAAATGTTTTACAAAATATCAAAATCAATAAGCATAAATTATATTAAAATAAATATAAATTATATTCATTAATTTATCTTTTGTTATCTTAAATTCCTATTTCATGATTTTTTGGCCAAAAATTTTTCTAGTTCATTGATTTTTTATCCATATATGTTTGAAATATTATTTTTCAACTAATATATTTGAAGTTTTAAAAATTAATATATAAATAAGTTGATATAACTAAAAATTAAAAATAAGGTAAAAAATTGAACATTGCATTATAATTATCGTTTGAAAACTTAAATAACTCTTAAACAATATTCATGTTAAAGATGTGTATTTTTTTATTTTAGTAAAAAAATGTGATTGAATGGTTATTAATGGTTAAATGAATGGGATTGGAGTATAAAAAATAGAAGTGAATCAAGTGATCACGTATGTGGTATATAAATTTTCATTTTTTTATTAAATAAATTTGATTTTAAGATGGGTTTTGTATAAGTTATAAAAATAAAAGAGATATGCTTGTAATTAAGGTAAAACAGAAAGAGAGTCAATATATTTTACTCCATATATAAAGGCATACCAATGATTTGAATTTTGAAGATAAGATAGGAAAATACAGGTAGGAGAATTTTTCAAGAAACTAGCATGGGAAATTACACTAGTGAACACAAGTTTAAAGGGATAAACATCCTGAAAAGTCTAACATACTATGTGAGAGAGCCCTTTAAGCTTATAACTCCCATTTAATTTGTGATACTCCCGATGTGAGATCGATGATAGTAAACTAAGAAGCAAAAACAAGCTCAAGCTATTGCTGAATACTGGCGAGCAACTTGGCGTCCTATTCATTTTCGAACTTCTGACAAGGAAATGGAAAGATGATGTTCATGTCGTATTTCACCTTTTTTTTTTAAAAAAATAAAAATAAAATAATAAAACAAACTAAAATCTGACAGATGCGCATCGGTTGATGAAATCCAAAGGCACTTGAAGGTTTCAAATTTACCTCTCACTTCACACAATCTCGTACAGTCAACAGAGGAAGCAAAACTAAATGCCAAAAACAAAAAACAATGCATTCATAACAATATCCAAACCAATCAATGCCTTCAGCCCTTCATTCTCTGACGTCATTTTTTATTTTTTATGCATCTTCCAAGTTAGCTCCGTTGATCCTCCACCGTGACTCCCGCCGATCACTTGCAACACGCCGTTGTTGCTTCCAAGAGCCTTATATATATTTATATATAATGTAAATTACTGACGTATGAATTCAATCAGAATTCAGAGCCAACCCCTATAATGAATGAACACGAGGCGCGCACGCAAACTACTTTTTATAAGTTGATGATTTCTTCAAAGGACAATTTCGATATGAAGCTCACAGAAGCCTTTTTTTTTTTTTGGAATAGAGATCACAGTAAAGTAGTGCACAAATATATTGAAACCATGTCACATAGATAGGCTAATAACAAGTCTCTCCATCATGTGGTGGATTATTATAAATAGTAGCGTTGAAATTATCTCAATTAGCTTGGTGAGCTAATTAACCAGGTGTTACGTATTCGTTTCTGTGAAGACTTACAGAGGCATTGGATGATCAGTCAACTCCGGTGAGCCATGTGATTGATCTTAACTTCATGTACAGAGGAAGAGGAGGAGCAGGAGGCAGAAGAGGCACATTTGCCACGACAAGACATGTCCCCTAACCACCATTCCCTCCTTGTATTTGTCAACACAGTTTCCATTACCAGACACATTCAGTTCACATCTCACAAACCCTATCTTCTTTCTTGGCTTCAATCATATCGGATCATCATGATCCACACAATTATTTGTGCGCTCTGTTAATCCTATCCATAAGTGAATGCTCAGCTCGGTTTAATCTGTTCCTTCATTCTATAGATAACAAAATGATCGCTTACATTCACTGGCTTTTACAGCACTAGAGACAATAAGTTGCTGCATAAATATGAAATTTACATACAAATATAACTCTTTAGCCTTAACAGGTCTCAGACAAGGACGATTCAACAAGCGTTAGAAATTTTAAAACCTTCTACTAAATGTCTTGTCTGCTAACAAGTCTATAACACGCGGAATTCCCATTAGCAGGATTGCGATAATTATACATAAACAGGGAAGAAAGCCACCTCTTGTGTATATGCTCCAATATATGTATCATCAGTTGTAGCATTGCCCTAGTTTCGGCTTTTGCACTTCTCCATTGCTCTTGGTGCTGCAACAAATAACAAACATGTGAGTAAGATCTGGGACAAGTCCTACTGAAAAATATGATTTTTATTCTTTTTAATTGCGAAATTAGATATAATGAAGCTAATTGACAAGGTTACCTAGGCCAATTGCTTCAGAACTCTTCATTATCCTCAATCTCTTGCAAGAGGCAGTGAACATCCTGAAACAAGGGCAAAGGGATAATATCAGGAAGAGAAATGCGCTCATCAACTTGATCTTTGTTCATACTGAAACAAAAGCAAGGCCTGATTGTACTACATCAGTAGCAGAGTCATTTATCTTAAAACCAGTCAACAAACACAGCTAATAATCTATGCAGTAAAACATGGAACAAATCGAAATTGACATTCTTTGGAGAATCTGACGGAAACCAAATTTAGACGCTATGAAGCATGGAAAGCACTTACTCCCAGGGTACATCACCAACTAGCATCCAATCACCGTCCTTGTCTTCGTATGTGAGCACATATTCTGAACCATGAAGAAGATCCTTCAACCTACTTTCACTCAAATTATCATGACTCGAAATTCCATGAGATCCACACTGAGCTGAACGTGTCATGCATAAAAAAGAACACCATCAGAATCTGTAACACCACATACATGCAAAAAGCAGTAAAGATGAAGGAATAGACTAAAATTGTACAGTAACTCATGTCATCAATATGGTAAAATCTCTACTATCAAAGTTTAAATGGGTAAATTATGTGTTTTTCCTGAGTAAAAGGGGACTTTTTATTGTTCATCTATGTTTCCAACATATTTGCTTTTGCGAGACTCTTGATCCTGATTCACTTACCAGTTACCATATACAGTACAAATTCTTCATCTGTCATCTAAATCACATGATTTCAAAAACTGCAGGTACTGGTAAGTAACGAATGAGTTGGAAGTAGACAGAAACTCACTGATCGTAAAACATCTGAACATCTTTTCGAGTGCTGAAGAAAGTTGGCGATAACTACCAAAGTTTTTGAGATCCACTTTCCGCAAGTAGGGGGCTCCATCCATGCTTACTTTGACAAAAAGACATCCAGACTTGGCTTCTGCATCATCAGCGTTCTTCTGGGGATTAGATGTCATCGAATTCTTCCTGAAGGATCTGATTGGTGGCCACCCCACAACTTGCTCCCTGATTCACATAAGAAGAACAGATCACGCTTTAATCATAACATGCTTGGAAAAACACAAGCTTTCTTACTAGAGGCAGAGATTGTAAATTTAGCTAAAACAGACACTAATCCTTGTGCTCGAGTTAGAGTCGAAGAACACAAGGGACAATATACAGAAGCATCAGGGGAAATTTTTGGAGGAGTTTAATCCGCCGGAATCATATGCAGCAAGAAATCATACAAAACCAAAGCGTAGAAGGAAATGGATGAAACGAGAAACACCAGCCCATGAATGATTAATACAGAAAGAATAACCTCTAAAGTTTAAACAAGCAACAGCTTCTCTTAAACAAGGATAAACTGAGGAGTGATAATATATTTCCCATGGAAAGTTCTTCTCCCTTCATTTTACATGGAGCTTTGTGTAGCATCCAACATATTATAACGAGTTGACAGAAACATCAACAAGCACTATGGACAGAACAATAATGAAACACAACGATAAGGAAAAAGAACAAGGATGAAAAATCAGAAGAAGATGGTAATTATTACTTTGGAGGAAGAGCAGATATCTGGGGCTTCTTCTCCTGCAACAATGTCTTTGGTGAGTTTGGGACGCTGTCTTTGGCAAGGGAAGCACCTAAACATGGTTGTGGGTTGGCGCCACCCCTGGGAGAGAACAAACCGCCCTCTTTGCCCAAACCCATATCAGATCCTCCGTTGCCTGACATAGCCCACTTCCCAGAACCACCATTAATGGTGTCTGAGAAACCCCTGTTGGCCCCACACATCGCCGCACTCTTCCCGGCACCGTCCCTCTCCGGTGACTCGGACCCAGGTAGTCCAAGTCGTAGCTCAGTGGCCTTGAGGTTCAAGCCACTGGTGTTTCTCTGAGAAAACTTGTCTGATCCTTTTTCCATTGAAGGAAGCTCTGTCAAGCCTACATAGTCCTGCTCCTTTGGCAGAGACATCAAACCTCGGCTGGTGAGATGATTATGGGAAACCACGAAATGGGAGAGAAGAAGAAGAGATGAGAGAGAGAGAGAAAGTATGTGAAATGGAGATTGAAGAAACAGAATTTAACAGTGGAAGAAAGATATGTTGATGAACAGAAGTTTTCCTGAGCCTTTAGATTCTGTTGTGTTCCTATATAAACTCCGTGCACCTATTGAGAAAAAGAGGAATTGATATATTAAGAAAAAGAAAGGGAATATTATCAAGCTTGTAATTTGCAAAGGGAATAATGTTAAATTAGTTTTTCGCTTTATTCTTCGTTTTAAATTCCTTGAGGACTGTGCTTATGTTTTTTTAAAAAATTATGAATCTTTTTGTAGGCAACCAAGCCGGCAAGTCACAGAAAGTCCCCGGCAAGCTCTCTCTATATTCATTCTTTTTTTTTTTTCGATGTTGGTATTTTCTTACTTGTACAATGAAATCCTTAAAATACAAGGGATTGACAAATAGTTGATTTTTAAGATTACAAATGAATTAGAGGAACCGGTTATTTGTTACAAAGTAATTGGCGCGAAAGGACGAGGAAGGGCAACAGAGATGACGGAACAGGGAAAAACAAAAAGGAACAGAGGAAGGAGAGGATCTAAAACTGTCACTGAAAAGGCCACAGGTTGATCGAATTTCGAAGATCTCACAAGCTGCAACAAGAACGCCGCAGAGTTAATTTTTCCAGGAAAATTGTTGAGAACGGAGAAGGGAAAGTTGGGTTGTTGAGAGAGAAATGAGAATGAATCCAATGTCCAAGACAAACAGAGAAAACGGGCTGATAAAAGTGAAAAGAAAATAAAGACAAAAATGATTTGCAGGTGAAATGAAACAAAACTGACTATGCCTGTGTGCACGAGATGCCTTGTTTGAATAACTGTGCCTGTGGAATTTCCAGAAATCTGCACCAGTGTCAGTTAAAATGAGTCAGAGGAAAAGGAAAAAAGCAGCTAACACTCTCACTTCATCTTATAATTAATTCAACCACAATTAAAATTAAGTAATTTTTTAATTATGCTTTTTTTAATTCTCACAATTTGTTTCTAAATTAATTAAATACACTTTTTTAGGAGGCTATTTTTGAAAAAAATATTAATCACTAATCCCTTCCCTTCAATTTTATTTATAAATCACTATTAACTTAAATTATATAAAGAATTAATAATTTTTTAACTTTGTTCCTAATATATATATATATATATTATAAGAATATTAAATAAACAAATATATATATTAATAATATATTTTATTCTATTAAAATTTAATTTAATGGAAGGTAAAATTGATAAATTGTGACAAATATTTAACGTCAAGATCGTTTATCATGCACGAAAGTACGTGGCTCCTTAATCAATCAATCCCGTGGGAGAGCTTGTGTGAGTAGCTTTGTATAAGTCAATGCGTTATACCCACAGTGGCACTTGTATGTCGTATCCTTAGAGACACATTTTCTCATTTTAGAGGACAGGCAAAGGTGAAAGTAGACCAGATTCCCATCAAAAGCTAACGGATTGGCTAGACCTATTACATAAGTCTATCGGGTTTAGACTTTTAATTAGATTTAGTTATAATATATTTTTATAAGGCCTAACTTATGAGTTTTATAAACCAACCTATTTACATGTATATTATTATATAATTGTTTGAGTTAAATATAAAATGTCACTTAAATAAGCCATGAAATCAAGTTGGGCTGAGTAATCGAAATGTTAGACCGAATATAAACAAAAGAGGTCGGCCTCGTAATAAAGTCCACAACAAATAAACATGCCGAAATTCCGTCAGCTTTAAATATCATATCGTTGGCACGAAGACACAATTCTAAGTAATGCTGAAGTCTACGCCCAAGTTCGGTAAAACGGGCTGTTTATCAAAATGGAGAGACCGTGCCATAAGTTTCGCAGGATTCCTAATTCTTCAGTAGAAGGTGCTAAGTCTCAAAGAAAAAGCTTCTGCTATTCGATACTATAAATAGGAAGAAGAAAAACAAAGAAAGCTAGTCAAAACTCGATTAAGACTTGCATATTTTACATTCGATAGCCTTTTTTTAGTTTTTAGTTTTTAGTCTATAATTTTCTACACTTCAATCAAATTACACACTTATTTTACCAAAGCCTTCTATTTTTTTACATCGGAACGAACTATAATAAAGGAATTCGGAATCCTTTTTGTTCTCTATTGAGACTCAATGTCTTTAGCACGCCTGATATTTATTATTCAACCACGAACAATTTGTGGCACGCCCGGTGGGACCTGTGTAACAAAGATGGCAAGGACGCAAAAAGACAAAATGATTGATGAAACATGTGCTGGTTCTTACAAACCAGAAGGAATCTCTGCGCATGCAGGATCAGAACACTTATCACCTGATGCTAGAGCAGTTGAACATCATGAGCACGTAGTGCCGGTGATAATAGGTAGTAGCAGCACGAGCCCTGACTCAAAGTCAGGAATTGGCAAACCCAACCCACTGATCATATCCAATAGACTTGTGGCAGAAGTGCTACGGGGAATTCAAGACCAGATGGATAAGCAGCTGGAGGAGAACCAATGGTTCTTTGCAATATCCCTGGAAACATCAGAACGTAGGGAGAAAGAACGATAGCAGATCATGATGCAGGCTCTGTATGAAGGAATGAAAAATATAGCCACATCATTAAGAGGCACCCATCTGGAAGCAAGCTTGAGTGTAGGGCTACTTGGGGAGCAGCAAGCTGGAGTCAATATAGGTGCTAGCCATCGGGGTCGCACACTTATAGAGACATCCCTAACCACCAAGTATTTGCACACACTCATCCTTTAATTAATCCTTCGTATTATCTATAGGATCCTGGCACGAGTTGCCCGAAGGGCATAGCGGTAATCTTGGAACGTTCGGTATAGCCTCAGAACCAATTGGTGAACATGGAGGCCCTGAGGGACGCCATTTAAGAGATATATGGACTAAGGCTAAAGCCAATCAGTCGCCCCACCTTCTCAAAACCTTATCCGAAGTATATAAACAAGGACAACCTATACTCTTGGGGGTACAGAATCCCTGACTTCACATTGTTCTCAGGAGATGGGACACAGTCAACCCTGGAACACATTGAGAGGTTCACAATCTAGTACAGCAAGATTGCTAATTATTAGAACTTTACTAACTTGAACTTGAGATTGTTCTTGAATACTCTCACGGGCCCGGTGTTTACATGGTATATGTCGCTACCTCGCAACTCAATCATTAGCTAAATGGAAATAGAGCAGAAGTTCCACATCCAGTTCTATAAAGTAGAGCTAGAAGTTAGCATAGCAGAACTTTACAAGCTCACACAACGGGCTGGAGAGACAGTAGACCAATACTTGGTGAGGTTCAAACGTTTAACGAGCAAGTGCCATGTGTCACTTCCAAAAACTGAATTTGTCAAGCTAGCACAAGCAGAACTGGATATAGAACTCCAAAGAAATTCCAAAGGATGGAATTTCAAGATTTCTATGAACTCGTGGCCAAAATGTAGGTTTATGAGGAACTACTTAAGGAAGAGGACCATCGTCGATGGACTACAACTGGGACTTATTTTGGGGACCTAGATGTAGTGGTGGTAGAACTGAAGAATGTTGGTAACTACACATGCTTGGCTCTGGTTAAGAAGGTCAGAGAACTAGCTAAAAGACCGAACGCAGTCCAGTACACCTTTGATACTACTAAAACAGAGGAAATTTTTTATTTTCTCCTCAAGGAAAACTTCATCTCCCTGCCTATGAATCATAAGATTCCTTCGAAGGAAGAACAGAGAGGGAAGGAATACTATAAGTATCATCACTCATTGAGTCACAGTACCAAGGCATGTTGGGGATTCAAGAACATCATCAAGGACCAGATCAATAAGGGAGTTCTGAAATTCCCTAGGGAAGAATCCATGGTGGTAGACGAGGACTTGTTTCTCCTATTCATTATGGTCAACATCGTGGAGATAACTTGTGGCAAACGACAGCTTAAGAAAAGAGATGGTTAGTAGAAGGATGGAAGACCTTGGAACGTCTGGAACAGAGGTGAAGTAACTTAAGGAAACTCTAAAATAGTATTAGACCGCCTGGAGAAGCCTACGATCTAGTCCAGTAAGAACAGGTCTTCTAAATGGGACATAGGCCCGGAGGCACATGAAAAGTTCGGATGGCTCTAAATAGTTTGGGAACGCTTGGGGGAAACCCAGAACGGAGACAGCCATCATAAAAGGAAGAAAAATGGCAAACAACCCTCAGGATGGGATGTTGGCCTAAGGGGATTAGTGATGACAGAATTAGATAGATCCAAGGTGGTCTGGGATCGCTTAGGGGAACCATCTGGCAAATTTGACTTCTTTGTAAAGTACTCAGCACCCCCTGGATTAGGCGAACCATTCACGGGGACACTAATGGGCTGGGATGTAGGCCCTGACAGCCTACCATTACTATCGTTAACACTATTAAAAAATAGCACAAAACTTCTTTCAAAACCAAAAGCCGCTCAGGGCTGGGTAGGTTCGTTACACCGCCTGGCAACGTGTCGTTTTTGAAATGGAGAGTGGTGAGGTACAAAAAGTTCCCAACTGCCTTGACAAGAACCTAGAAGTGATGTCTTCAATGAAAATGAGCTACACAGAGGTATCTTGAACAGTAAAAAACTAAAATACAGGATAGCCTCAACATTCAACAGGAGACTAACAAGTTCAGAAGAAAGTCCATCGAGGATCATGATAAAGGAAGTGAGGCCAAAAGTTAGAAAAATGGGACCATTCACATTGGAGAGATATCGCTTAACCTTTGCTGAATGGTCTCATTAACATTACCTTCTCAATTTTAGTCCACCACTGGCAATACCCAGGGCCAGCAAAAGTAGAACTCCTTGGGGCTGACACAGACAAGCCTATATCAGTACTGCCCAATGGAGTTAAGAGAAGAAGAAGAATACGAGCCTATAAGCACACAAGCACAGAAAGAAGAGATTGTAGAGCCAGTCTGCTAAATTACTTTACAAGCAATAGAAGGAAAATCAAAGTCGGTTGTTCTAAAGAATCCCAGTGTGAAAATGACTCAGCACCTGAAACCTTTATATATCAAGGCATATTTTGATGGGAGACCAATGACTAGAGTCCTCATTGACAATGGCTCGATAGTGAACATTC